AATATAAATTTTTAAATATGTAAAAAAAAAAGAAAACATGATCGTAAATCATGTGATGTTGAAGATGATCACTTCGGTGTGTGATTTATTATTCAAACTCAATACCATCAATCTCCGATAATTGACTGCAACGCCGGGTAAACACGCTGTTATTAAAATCTCATTTTCGCGAACGGTTGAGATTGCGCAAATCTCGATCGTGCCGCGAATCGTATGCGAATCTGATGCGTGAGAGAGAAAGAGAGCGGTTACCCCTTAATGCTCAGATAATGCGCACGACCTTTAACGCTCCGCTGCTGACTGGGAGAATCTGCAAAAGTGCGATTTAACGCGGCAAATCGTTCTACGCAAAAGGCGCGAGAGATCTAATCGCGAGAGTTGTGCGACGGTAATTTTCCTGCGCCAACGAGCAGAATAATTCGCGCAAAACTCGCGGACGCATCGCCGCGGTGGTGTCTGTGGACTCAGACGCTGGCTGGGAAATGGTGGAAAATTAGAAACGGTAATCAGAGGAGCCACGCCGAAATCTCCCGACGGCGGCTTGGCGCGGCCGCCTTAAAAGGACTATCCAGCCTCGCTTTGACAGCCCCCGAACTTTTGATCGGTTAACGTGCAATTCTTTTTCGGAGTTTCGGCGCCCGATTCCCGCGCGAGTTTGCGGAGCCGCCCTTCGAGGGGGAACGAGTTACTCCTGCTATACCAGATTTCTTCGTGCCTCGACGAAACTTCGGGAAAACTTTCCGAATTCGCTCCCCTTCAATCTTACAATGCTCTTTAATGCGAGAGGGGGAGGGCTGTCTCTCTCTCGGGGGGGAGGGGCATTCATAAATCATTTTCTTTCGTCACGAAATCCATCTCCGCCCCGCGATTATCCCCCTTACAACGGGAGCAAGGTGGAACCAGCCGAGGAATTACTTTCTTTCGTGACCTTTGTCAGGTGGTGGAATGCATCAAGCCACGTCGATGAATCGCACTTCACCAAGTTCCTGAGACGAATGAGCATATTCGACAAGAAATCAAATCGAGTCCGATTAAGGCAGGAAGGGTACAAGGTGTTCGCGGATTATCAAACGCCCTTTATATTCTGCGACGCGTAAATTCGATTTCACTTTCACTATCATTGGTCTTTCTTTAATACGAACCGAATGAGTAGCCATTATATTTATCGTCTCGTTATCTTCATCACTACAATAAATAATTAAGCTTTACGTTAAATTTCTATGCAGGTAAAATCAACGCAAAATGTATTAAAAATTTTATTGCACATTTATCGTATTTTTTACGTGTAATAATAATAATGTTACTATATTAGTGCACTCCTCTATATGCTTAATTCATCAATATGTGCTAGGATATTGTAAATTAATAAAACGGAAACGCGAATTGAATGTCATAATCGCCGCGATGATTGGCGTGACACGTTACAGCGAGACCTCGCGGAGCTCAGTTTGATGGACGTCTGTGTGTATTTAGGTAAGAGTATCTTTCTTGAAATGTGCACCGCGCGCGCGGAGAGTGAATCGATACAAATGTGACATTCAAGTGGCGTCGGTTATTTTTGCATGAGATCGTAACGATGTGTTTCAGAATATACGAGCACCCCACGTCGGAATTGGAAAAAGACGACGCCTGCGGCGCGCTGCTTAATTATATCTCCGAGACAGTTAATAACGATTTCATGTCAACGCAGCACGCGGTTCCGGGCAGAATATGCAATTACGATCGCCGTTATTCTCGTCGCGTCCCCTGTCGTCGTACGGCGAGCAGAGGTAGCAGATCCAACCGTCGAGGCGATAAATCGCGAGATTTATGTCGACAAATTTGACAACATAAACCGTGGAATAGCACTCACTGATCCCGGAGAACAATGCCGAATCGGCGTCTGATTTGCATTTATGAAAAGGGCAAAATACCCACTGTCCGTATTAATTAACTCTCTGTAGCGAGAGAGCTGTTATTTATGGAGAATAATAAATCGCGGCGACCGATATAGCACGCCGAAATATCATTGGCGAAGGATCGCGGATCGTGGGTAAAGCTGATGGTTAAAATTTTAGTCAATCAAATGAGAGTAGAGACTCAAAAACAAATCTAATTTGAGTCGATGGATATATATATCCGTGGCATTCTGTATATCACTGTTGCGACCTAATATCCGGTTCTATCGCCGTCTAGTTCGACCATCGCCGTTATCTAGAATCCGGAGGCGCACGTCTCTCCCGCGACGAGAAATTCATGGCGTGAGCACGCAAGCACGACAACTATGCCCTCGATTGCCGCCTCGACGGAAAATCGAGCGAAGGGAGAGACAGAAGAGACAAAGGGAGAGACGGAGGGAGACAGAGAGAGAGAGAGAGAGAG